TTGACAAAAATAGTATAATAAATTTGAATACACTATACAGAGATAATTAAAAAAAAGTGTAAATGAGACAAGAAAAATAAAATCAAAGTGTTAGTATTTGTTTGGGATGGAAAGGAATGGATTACTTTTCTAACGCAAGAAATTATATTCAATGACCTTAAAAATAGATGGTCTTGATTTTTTGAGTCCTACTTGCTCCATGGACAAACCTTTAAGATCAAAAGTCATAAAACAAGTGAAGGGCAACACTTTTAAACTTGAAGTTAAGTGTCCTATTTTTGCAAATCACTCTTTCTAACATCCACATGTTGAAAAAATGGCACCACATGACAACACATAAGAGGAATTGATAATTTCTTAGCCTTATACTAGGTTTGGCAAAAGCATCCCTAAACAATTGACATTATATATAGTCCATTCTTAAAAAATCTATGTTTTATTTATTTTCTCTCCACCGTTTGCTGCCTTTAGGGGTGTGCATTCGATTTATCGATTCGATTTTGACCCTTATCGATAATTACTTATCGATTATCGATTTGTACATATGCTTATCGTTATCGTTTCAATAAGGTTTCGATTTTTTCGATTTCGATTTATCGATTTTGGGGGCTTATCAATTCGGTTATCGATTACACCAATAAGAAAATTTGCGGGATTCCACGAAAAGTATATCGCTATAAACGTGCCTAACTAATATGGACAAAAAGAAGCTAAAATAAGACGAACACCATTTATAATATAAAAATTGTGTCAACAAGCACATGCAACAAAACTAAAGTAAGGGATCAAATGTATGCCACCAACACTCCAACGGTATAAAAAAACAAAACAAAACAAAACACATCATCGCGGCTAATTCTATTTTCCATTAATTTGAACTTCATTCCCTTGATCTTTAAATATGATCATTCCTTAAATGTGGTAGAGGAAATAATAGGATAAGGGACTTATGGTAAAGGAAAGGGTATAGATTAGGGAAAATAATATTGTATAGCCGCTTTCAAAATAGTAGCGGAATATATATACATTCTGTATGTTATATTAATCTACACAAATAGGTAATTACTCATTTCACAAGTGTCTACAGTCTAGGGGTGTGCATTCGATTTATCGATTCGATTTTGACCCTTATCGATAATTACTTATCGATTATCGATTTGAACATACGCTTATCGTTATCGTTTCAATAAGGTTTCGATTTCGATAACAAATAATCGATTCGATTTATCGATAAACCGATTCGAATGCACACCCCTAGCTGCCTCTCCCCTTCTTGTTCGCTACTTCTCTCCACCCCACCCCTCTTTGTTTGCTACCCCATGCCCCTCCCCACTCCTTTTGCACTGCTTGTCCCCCCCCCCCCCCCGCCCTTCTTTGTTTGGTTCTCTATAGTACTTAACCTCCTCTCACCCCAGGCCCACACAATCCTCTTATTCTACCATCAATGCATCCCGCGTTATTCTTTACAGCCGTCAGGAAGGGAATTCAACAATAGAACTTTTCCAACATGCATACCTTTACTAATGTTTATCACCAGCAAGTTTTGAGATTTAATTTTGTTTTAGGAAATTCTCATTTTGTATATCAATATATTTGTAGCATACATATTTGTGTATATTTTCAAGAAATTATATGTTATACACTAAAATATACACCGAAGAAAAATAAATTATTGATATACATTTTGATATACACAAGAAGAAAAATAAAGATGCGCTGTATTCATATGTATTCGCGAGATGTATTCATGAATACAGAGTAAAAATAGGCCTCTCCAGCTGTTTAAAAACGAAAAGTGAATCAATTAACATGATAGACTCCTAATAAAACTCAACAAACTCAATTATAACACGCAAAATTATTAATCCAGTTAAGGAAAAAGATTTCTCTAACGAAAAATACCCAAAAAACAGAGCAATATTCAGAGATTTAGTTCATCCTTTTTTCGTGGTATATACTTACAACCTCTTCACCAATTTGATGTATCCAACTGTATGGATATGTATTCTGGCTAGTTGTATAATGCATTCATGGTAGAATTTTAAAAAATACAACATGTATAATGTTGTATTCAGCTTCAAATCATGTGTTGCTAAATTGTCTGGAAGTTCAACCCTTTCTTAAGTAAGTGTTGACGTAAGATTACTTTACATGGGCTACTATTTAATTTGGTTGACGCAACTAACAAATAATTTTCAATGCCTCGCTCAGTGACTTTGTGAGTCAATTTGGTCATGGTGCTGTATATTCTACATTTGAGGCATGGTTTAAAGAGTGCGTAAGTGCATCTTACATACTTTCTCACATGTGATTATACATACTTGTGAATATACTTGCTCACATGTGATTATACATACTTGTGAATATACTTGCTCACTTGTGATTTATTTAACGCTACATGTAGGTCAATAATCCAAACAACGGTGTTAATCAATTTTTGAAAGACATATCTTGGGGACCTGCACCTACGGTTACAGCTATGTCTAAGTATTGTGCGAATGGTTACAAATTTCACACCGAGGAATGCTCCAAGTATAAAAAAAGCAATAACAGTGGGGTGTGTGTCAAAAGTGGTGAAGGCAACCAGGATGAGGAAAATGATTATTATGGTGTGATCAAAGAGATTCTAGAATTGTCATATTCAGGTTGGCCAAATAAGAAGATCATACTTTTCCGATGCAAGTGGTTTGACCCAACACCTAGAAGAGGTACAAATGTACACTCGCAGTACAACATAATTGAGGTTAATAAAAAGTTTCCGACCGATTTCGGTCGGAAATAAAAGTTTGACAGTCAGTCAACGCTTTGAAATTTCTGACTGACTTCGGTCGGTACACTTTTGCGACCATCGTTTTCCCGACCAATTAAAATCGGCCGGAAATTATCAATATCTGACCGATTTCGGTCGAAAATAGCGGACGGAATTCAATAAGCACATACTGTGAAAATTTTAATTACAAATTCGATATACCATGTACGCCTTTTAATGAAATGGACATCAAGACACAAAATGTGTTTTAGCATGTTAACGACTTTTCAAAGTTGAATTATTCATAATAAATGACAATTTTTTAGAAACTAACAAGCTGATACTTCAAAAAATATACCACATTAATATGCATTTAATAAATTATAGAGTGAGTCTCATTTTTAGTCTAGTGTACCAAATTCTAGCTATAGCTAATAAAGCCAGACGTTTGCTATAAAAAGAATTCGAGAAACCCAGCCTAATTTACCAACCAAAATTAAATTCATAACCCCCCCCCCCCCCCCCCCCGGGAGCAACCCAAAATGTTTAAAAAATTATATTACTAATCACTCGTGCATTTCTCCTGACAAAAACAAAAGTTGGTTATAATCTTCTTAGTTTACAAAAGCACTAGAATGTTAAGATCAAGTCACAACAACAACGACGATAACAATATACCCAATATATTTTCATAATTAGGGTATATGGAGGATAGTGTGTAGTGTAGGCAGACCTTACCTTACCTCTACCTTGTACAAGTAGAGAGACTTTTCGAAAGATACTTGGCTCAGGTAAGCACAATAATTAGCAGTAAAGAAATGCAATATATATATAAAAATAAAAAAAGTTATGGAAAAAAATATAAGCAATAGAGAAAGTTAAATAAAATGAACCAGGAGCAATATCACCTAATAATATGCAAAGGATAACCCCCAACTAGCGAAATGCTAAAGCTACCGGTAAAAAAGGGAAGTACAATATACTAGTACCTAATACCTATTAACTTTCTACCTTAATCTTCCGCAAAAGTGTTAGAATATTAAGATCAATAACAATAATCAAATTACTGTTAACATTTTGATTTTCGATAGAACATTGTTAAAAAATAATCTAAATTAAATATCCTTTTGCACGTGACTATATTGATGGTACTGTGATTACAGAGATTGACAGGACAAGAATTTTTAACATGTTACAGTATTTTCAGGAAAATGTCCTTTTACCAATGGTCTTGGAATTTTTTAAACTTGTTGGACATTGCAGTATCTCATTAATTATCCAAAATTCTTTCATATACAGACGATCGTCCTCCTACATAATCTAATCTTCTAATATAACATACTTAAGAAAACCATTTTTTTTTTTTTTTTGGTTAAAGGGAATATATAAAAACACAGATTAGGAGTTACATTGCATAGTACTGTCTATGCTGGGGTACTGAAGTTCCCCTAAGACGGCCATATTTTATTCAATTGTATCAATATTACATGCCCAAAAATTCCTAACAACTTCAGTTCCTAGAATGTTTGCCCAAGAAATCGATTTTCAAGCAAAAGAGAAGGTAATGAGAGCAAAATAAATAATGGTACCTAACTTGGTTTTAGAAGATATGCATCCTATAAGTTTTAGAGCAATTAGAGAATCCTTTACTTAAAAGTAAAAGGTTTGAGCTTCGAAATGGAATTTTTTTTGGATATAGGAGGGCTTCCTCTCTTAATGGTCATGTACGGTGCGAATCGAATTAGTCATCAAGTGGGTATTTGATAGCCGATGATTATTCCCTCCCAAAAAAGGAACAAGTGGACCCACAATATGCGAGTTGGGTAGACTTATAGTAACTTGTTTGTATGGTTGTTACATGTATTGTATCGTATTGTATTGCTAAATTCGTTATTACATAATGACGAAAAATGTCACTTTATAGAACGACGGATTTGGTGCGGTCGCATCGTTACTATATATTTTTCTCTCATTTTGCCCTTCCTTATTATTAGATAATTCTATTTTATCTTTTAGCCTACCTTTTTATATAATAATTCTACCTCATACTTTACTTTTTTAATAATATTGCATGTTTATTTTTCATATTTTTGGTGCATGACATCATAAAATGACGGCAAATAATACAATCTATTCAAACATTGCATTATGTATATATAAAAATAATACAATACAATACAATATAATACTATACGATACATTATGAAAGGATACATAACAACTGATCCAAACAAGCTGCAAACGGCCAAACTCATCATTCACAGCATTTAAAGAAAGCTCGCATTTTATTTAAAAGAACTTTATTTCCATTCAGAAAACTGTTAGTGACTGAACCAAAAAACTTAAGCAAAATTCATACTATCAACAATGGCGTCTTCAGCTATAGCCTCAAGCTCTACGCCTTTCATCAACAAGGTTTGTGTCTACACAAGAAATAAACTTGAAGCCTGTATTCATCAAAATTTAAACTTTCTTGAAATTTGAGTGACCCAATATTTTCAGTTATTTGTCATGCAGAAAGATGTAGGACTATCAGCTTTCTCATCACAGCCTTCATTATGCATTCAAACTGCCAAGAAGAAAATGGTTTCCAAGAAAATATTCTCTGTGATGTCGCCACAGCATAGTGAACGCAAACCAGCCACCACTGGCTCAGTAAGTATTTTGATTTGTTTAAAATTTATTACTACAAATTATGGAAAATTTTGATTTTTCTAAGCAGTCCAAAATCACAGCATAAGTTGGGGGCTGCACTCAAAATGGTGCCTATTAATGTTTACAGTGATGCATATTTAGTCCTGTCCATTGTCCAACACAATCACTCTATATATTTTAGCCTAAATCATTTGCACCACTTCTGAAAACTTGGAGGACTAGTGTTGCTCCACTTATACACTAAGATCATTTTGAGAGAACTCCCAAACTTTTCTTTTATAACCGTGGTGCCCAGGTCAGCTTCTATTTGCACAAGCTCGGTATAAGGTTGCGTACTCACTATCAGTGGCGGAGGCAAGATTTCCATTAAGGGGGTTCAAGAAAGAAAAAAATTAAAAAAGATTGTAGCTGGTGTGAGAATTGAACCAATAACATTACAAAGGTTATGAACCCCCTTGACCACTAAGTTATGCTTTTGGGCTATGTCAAGAGGATTCAAAACATAATATATAGAGGTAAAAAACAGATTTTGCCGGTGTCCGCCCCTCCCCCCCAAATCCGCGCCTTCTCACTACCCTCCTCAGATCCTATTTGTGGGATTATACTTGGTATATTGTTGTTGTTGTTGTTGGTGTCCGGGCCAGCTTGTGCACGCGCACCTCGACTAACTCTACGGGACACCTGCAACCTCCCACCAACACAAGTACTAGGTAATTCTGTTCACCAAATTAAAGCTTGGACAGATGGGAAGAAATCACCTAATATTTTTGCCTGTACTGGGATTTGAACCTGGGACCTCATGGTTCTCATCTGACCGCATGGATCCAGGGAACTCCCAAGCTTAAGGAGTGATTTTAGGCTTTTTCTTATTTTTTATATATGGGTATTTGACTTTACTGAATCTTGTTTATGGTGACAATTGACAGGTAAAGACTGGGATGACTATGACTGAGAAGATATTAGCTAAGGCTTGTGGCAAGCCTGAGGTTACTCCAGGTGAAAATGTATGGGCCAATGTTGATGTTCTAATGACACATGATGGTTGTGGCCCTGGCACTATTGGAATTTTCAAGAAACAGTTTGGGCAGAATGCTAAGGTACTGATAAGATTTATCCATTTGATTTTTCTATTTGTACTTGACAAGTGATCAATCTGCGCACAGAGGCGGAGCCAGAATCTGAAGTTTCTGGGTTCAGGATTTCAGCCTTTTCAAGTTACTGGGTTCTAAATTAATAATTTGAACATATTAAATGAATTTCTTAAGACAAATATAAAATTTGGACCAAAGTTACTGGGTTCGTCCGAACCCGCGCCTAGGTCTCTAGCTCCGCCCCTATCTGCACAACACCCTAGGCAAAATCCCACGTCGAAAAAAACATGGAAGAGACTAAGATAAGAAGAAAGCCTTAGACTCTAGTGATGCGTTCTAAAGCCGTGCGGGCCTAGGCACAAAACATGCAATATCACTAGTAGTTTGGACTGTTACATATAATTTCCTGGTTATGTGAATCAAGGAGTGAATTTAGACTTTTGTTAATCTTGATAGTTTGAGATTTCATCTACTTTAGGCTGAATTGGAACTATTTTTGAGGTTACACTGTCCTTCAGTCTGTACAAGATTTGCTTTTAGCTGATATTCTTATCTTCTGTTGTATGGCCTATATGCATTACCGGTTATCAGTAAACTCAAAAGTTGGTTAATCACTTTGTTCAGCCTTCAACTTTTTTTTAGTGATTTTGTTTAGCCTTTAAGTATCAGAAGAAGAAAAAATACAGGTATGGATACTTTTTTCTGGATGATAAAACTGTGAAGGCCAACAATATTGAGTATAGAGTACAGACATATTTTTCCCAGTTAAATATGATGTGCTGTTTTTAATACCATAGGTATGGGATCCTGAGAAGATTGTTGTTATACCCGACCACTTTGTATTCACGGCCCATGAACGAGCACACCGTAATTTGGATACACTGAGGGACTTCTGCATTGAGCAAACTATTAAGTACTTCTATGACATTAAAGATCGTGGGAACTTCCAGGTATGGACATTTTCTCTCTACAGATTCCAACCTAATATAAGCTTTTGTCTAAAGCATGAGTTCTTTGGCAAATGAAAAAATAATAAGTGATTTTCATATAGGTTAATCCAGATTATAAAGGAGTTTGCCACATTGCTCTTGCCCAAGAAGGTCACTGCAGACCTGGAGAGGTGATTTTTTTTTCTTTGCCCGACAACCACACACTATGAAGACTTCTTGATATGTGCTGGCATAAACTTTAATTTTGACTATGTAAAGTACTTATATTTGTCTTCAGGTTTTGCTAGGGACAGACTCTCATACATGTAATGCTGGAGCTTTTGGGCAATTTGCTACTGGAATTGGCAATACAGATGCAGGTTTTGTGTTGGGTACCGGAAAGCTTTTACTCAAGGTCTGTAAATGCTGCCTAAAGAATGGAGTTTTCTATTATTGTTCGACTTACTATTAGCGTTAGTCTTGTATTCCATTGTTGTTAGATTTGGTATTGCTTGATGTTCCTTTCGCTTACTATCTTGTTGTTGTTACTTCTTGGTGTTACTGCTTGTCTTTTCATGAGCCGAGGGTCTATCGAAAACCACCTCTCTACCTTCAAGGTGGGGTAAGGCTTGCGTACACACTACCCTCCCCAGACCCCACTTGTGGGATTACACTGTGTTTGTTGTTGTTGTTGGTGGTGGTGGTGCAAGATTGTGCTGGTTAATTTTTTTTGAGTATGTAACTTGCTATTTGGTATTTTCTTATTATCAACTCTGTGGTCTAGATGACTAATGCACCTTTTTATGAGAAGTTTTATTCTTTGGCCTTTCATATGCAGTCTTGATACTTACTTTAAAATTTAACTCTGTGACATGCAATTATAACCATGTGACATTTTCCTCAGTAAAATTTGGACATCACTCTTGTGATTGAATATAGTGCTGAAAAATTGTTCTTGTTTTACTTCAGATTCTCCACTTACTGCATTACATTACTTTTGGACGATAAACTTGTTCTTCTTTTGCGTCCGACATGATATTGAGAATCTTCTTTTGCTTATAAGGCTTGAAGATTCTATTTGACGATAGTTCTGATGAATGTTATAAGAATTGACGGTTTCATAAGTTATTTATCCAGTATCCTTCTTAATATTTTTAGCATAACTTATATTCTTGCTATTAGATATCATCAATGAAATTTTACACCTGTATGATATAGGTGCCTCCAACTTTGAGATTTGTCATGGATGGTGAAATGCCCAATTACTTGCTTGCTAAAGACTTGATTTTGCAAGTAAGTTATTTTTAGATACTCTGTAGCTCATCAAACGACTGCATCGTTGTCTCTTTCTCTGAATTTGGTGGTCCGATAAGTTCCTAAGTTCGAATTCTGTTGTCTGTCGGTGAATTTCATGTTGCAGATTATTGGTGAAATATCTGTGGCTGGTGCTACATACAAAACAATGGAGTTCGCTGGCACCACAGTTGAAAGCTTGAGTGTAAGCATTCTTGATATTGTTTTACAGAATTAAGCAGGTTGCATATATAGAAGTAGTTAATAGATATCATTGCTTTGGTAGATGGAAGAAAGAATGACATTATGCAACATGGTTGTTGAAGCTGGTGGAAAGAATGGTGTCATCCCAGCCGATAAAACAACATATGACTATCTTAAGGTACTTTTGTACTCAAGACGCTAGGTTTATTTCACCTCTTTAAATCCTCCCCCCTCGAGCACAAATCATTAATGTCGTTGAGAATGAAGAAAAAGAGCTGTTACTCCAAATTTAATATATTTTTATATTATGCTTTCACAGGACAAGACATCTGTGCCGTATGAACCTGTTTATAGTGATGGAGGAGCCAGGTATTTATGGCTGTATACATTTTCTTCTGAACTTGTAATTTAAATTGAGATTATTCTAGTGTGCATTTCTCTGTGTTGGTCTTGGAAATATCTGAACTATCAACTTTGATTCATGTGACTTGTTATTTCTTGAAGTACCAGTACATTCAAAATATTTTGCAAAAAACAGAAGCAAAATGGTTATGCAACATGCTTCCTGACCTGTCAAAATTGCATGTTCTTTGCTATTTTCCCTCATTTGAAATTCTACTCTTGTCGAAAATCAGTATTTTGTTGTCATTTGCAGGTTCGTATCGCCATGGCTATATAGTTATGAGATTTTTGTTTTGTGTGTTTGTCTCAGATTTCTTAAAGAATACCGAATTGATATCTCCAAGTTGGAGCCTTTGGTGGCAAAGGTTAGTTATGATCTACCCTTTTCTTATTTGTTGAATGCATCACTGGTTAGGAAATTTGATTGTATCGGGTTAACAACATAAGTTTCACATAATTGATAAGATATCAAAAGCTTGTATCTGGATCAATTACATTTCAAAAACAACTGGTATAACGATGATCTCTAGGTTTATTTTCGTCTTGCTCAGTGTTGATTTCTTTTGCACGCTTTGAAGCTGTGTTTTGATTTCATCTACTCTGAATGTTCAAAATGTTTTCTGCATTTTGCAGCCGCATTCACCTGATAATCGTGCTTTGGCTAGAGAATGCAAAGATGTGAAAATCGACAGAGTATATATTGGATCTTGTACTGGTGGAAAGACAGAGGATTTCATGTCTGCTGCAAAACTTTTCCAAGCTTCTGTAAGATGTTTGCTCCTTTTATGTCTCACATGATAATTGCCTCTCTTTCCTTTTTTTCCAATTAAGGCCTATACGCCAAATATTATTAACAACACCAAACCCAGTGAATACGCCAAAATAACTTGGGCAGCAAAAGTGTAGCAAGTTATCAACCTGATGTTTCATTTCATGTTGGATCATGTGTCTTATATGCAAGTCAAAAATTCTGTTTTCCTTTAGGCTTGTTGCTGAACTATATTAGCATGTGAAAATATGCAAATGTTACCTTGGAATTCTGATTGTTCCCACTTATCCCTCTTTTCCTTGTTTTTATATAGCTTCAACTCCTGCTAGATCATTGTTGGCAATTATTACCTTGGAATAAGACTCAAAATGCAGTAGTGCACGTCGCTGAGCTAACTAGCCACGTTTAGTTAAGCAGGTTAAATTAGATTTCAGTCTGTCTAAACAAATGACTGTGTCTGGTGCAGGGAAAGAAAGTGAAGGTTCCAACTTTCCTTGTTCCTGCTACTCGACAGGTTTGTAATATTATCTTTCAATACTAGCCAACTGCGATGTCAATGTAGACGAACTGTATGATGCAAATATTTGAAAATGTTTCAGGTGTGGATGGACATATATAGTCTCCCGGTTCCAGGATCTGGTGGTAAAACATGTTCCGAGATTTTTCAGGAAGCTGGTTGTTATGAACCTGCTAGTCCTAGTTGTGGTGCTTGTCCTGGCGGACTTCCAGACACTTATGGGCGGCTCAATGAACCTAAGGCAAGCTGTTAATTATTTTATCTGAATGGTTAACTTGTTGTTAATATGCTCTAACAGTTAGTGGCGAAGCCAGAATTTTACCAATAGGGTGTCAAAATATACAACAACAACAACCCAGTGTATTCCCACAAGTGGGGTTTGGGGAGGGCAGGACGTACGCAGCCTTCCCCCTACTCTGGAAAGGCAGAGAGAGTTTCCGATGGACCCTCAGCTAAAGAAAGGAGCACTGATAGCAAGTAATAACAGTACAAGATATTTAGAAAACTGAAACCAAGATAGCAAAATAAAAGATGAAAGAAGCACAATGGGTGTCAAATATAAAAAAAACACCGAAAAAGCCACGGGATTCAATAGTGTATTTTTCCTGCGACGGGTTGTCAATTGACACCCCTTCGCATAAGGTGGCTTCACCATTGCCTACCGTAGGGCAAGTTGTTAATTCTTCTATAAGAATAGTGGGGTATCTGTCTATGATACTACTAAAAATTAAAAGCCACTGGCTCATTTCAGGCAAATTAGGATACTGTTACTGAGTTTTTTCCTAGAGCAGGATATTTTTAGTGCACTAAAGTCATTTGGTTAGACATTAAGTACCTCACAAGCAGATAGCTAGAGTTAGGATATGTTTAGTTAGAGCTAATAATCAAGGAAAAATCTCAACAAGAGTAGGAATATACCTAAAAAGATAAGGAGGACGCGACAACAGAGGAGCACAATAGCACAAACTGAACTTTGTAATCAATCTTTTTGGTATCAGAAGTGAAAGAAATCATGGAATTGTAGGTAAAAAGATCAATTTTGCTAACTACAATGTAGGTATTTACCTGACTATATGAGTTATTGTTTTTCAGGTCTGTGTCTCGACCACGAACAGGAACTTTCCAGGTAGAATGGGGCACATTGAAGGTCAGATATATCTTGCATCACCATATACAGCTGCAGCATCAGCATTGACTGGTTATGTCACTGATCCTAGAGAGTTTTTGATGTGAAGTTCTTGAGAGTAATTCATTCTCAAAGTTGGACAATATGCTTTACACTAGTATATGAGAGGGCTAAGCTCTTGCTTTTGATGTTATGGTATTCCATTAAAGGGCTGTTTTATTCTGTTTTTCATAATTTTGGTTTTTATGTTTTGGAACTTGTGTTTGAACAAAAAGTTTAAGGCTCTTTGTCAACTCCAATTACCAATAATAAAAAAGCTAAATCTTAGCCAAGCATAATTAATTTCAGATTCAAACTCATATAACGAGGAATAACAAAAGATAGGAACACATTAGATTTATTGATGTGATATTTTTGCATCAAACATGAGAGACGAGCTTACATCTGAAGCGAAAAAAATTTGTAAATGAAGGAGTAAAGAGGAAAAAGTGAGACCACTGTTCATCCGAGAGAGATTCTTCTTTCCTCTTCTTCTTTTTCTCGTTTCCTCCCTTGTTTGTTGTCCTTCTCTCTCTCCAAAAAGTCCCCCCCCCCCCTCCTTCTAAGCTTGCCTGCCATATATATATATATATAGTTCCCAGGGCTTCTATTCAATAGTCTCTAACCAACATGCTTTCGATGACTTGACCCCGAGGATGACCGAGGTGTTCTTTGCTATTTCGCCACCTGGGCGGGATCCCAACTTGTTCGACGCCCTATCATTTCTATTGGGGGCGACCGCTACGGTCAGATTTTGACCCATACAGTTAGTCCCTCCGTCTGCCGAGGTCGTTTCTTGGCAGGATCGACGGGCGGACTCTGTCGATTCGGAAGTTAGGAGAAATCTGAGTGTTTACGCCTTGAGCGATGTTTTCAGATCGAGGCGAAGGCGTGACGCTTCAATGATACCCTTGGACCGTCGCATCCGTTCGGAGTTGAACCGTTGTGTTGATTCGAAATGTCGTTTGTAATCACTGTCATTATGACACACGTTCCTTATGGATTGAACCGTTTCTTGTGCCCTATCAGTTTCGGTTGGCGACTCTTGGGTTTCCCGCTCGGGGCATTTATGCTCCTATAAATAGGGGGAAAACACCATTCTATTGATCTATCAAAGGAATTTTGCGAGTCTTTACCTTCTTCGATACATCAGATTTTTGGTTCACTCTCTTGTTAGTCGGAAATTGACCTCACCGTCTTCCCTCTTACTTCCCCCCTACTCATTCACTCTACTCAATCGAGACAAATGGCTGGTACTTCCTCCTGTGCTAACAGATGCTGAAGTTCCGGTGCCGAAAAATGATGCTCTTGCTCCCGGAGGAGTGGAGATGGCGGAGGATGAGGGGGTTCCAACAAAGGCCAAAATATTGCCCCGTCCGGGGAAGTTATGGACCGATTTTAACAGCCCTGCCGGAGAGGAACCGGAGCATGTTTCCTCTATTATGGACGAAACGGCGATTGAGGAGCTTAAGACCAAATGGGGGATTCCGCACCATGTTGAGATGTTGCCGGCGGTGGGAGATGATATTGTACATTTTGACCGCCCCGGATATTGTGCGTTCTACGCCTGCCCTTTCATCGTCGGGTATATGCTTCCTCTTCCTTCCTTGGTGGTAGACTTTTGCCGTTTCTACGAAGTATGCCCGGCTCAACTTTCGCCGTACATATACAAATTGTTCCTCATGCTGCTCAAGTTTGCGGATCTTGCTGGTTGGGAGGTCACTCTGGGGCATATGCTCAATATTTTTGCCCCTCAACTCATTCGAGGCACGATGATCCATATGCGCCATCGAGGAACGAAAATTCTGGTGGTGAAGATGGACGACAGAGCCAATCATCGTTTCTGGGGGAGCTACTTATATGTGCGGATCGAGCATCTTGTGACAGACTCGGCAGGGTTCCCTGAGAAGTGGAACTTCGCATGTAAGTCTTTTTTTTCTCCTGTTGGGGTGATGGTCGACCGTTTTTCTTTAGGCAGCATTAAATCGTTTTTACTTTTGCAGCCGAGAGACTACCTCCCATGCCTGTTGACGATATCTGTGAATGAGTGAATGCCATTCTCCCCCTACGGTGGGGATTCGCGAATGGGCGTCCTTCTACGAGAAGTACGGGGGTAAACCTCTTACTGGTAAGTCGACTTGCCGCAGCTTCTCTGTTTTCGCCTTACAATTTGACCTTGTTGCTTACGCGACCATTACTGTTAATAGGGACAATGCGAAGGACGAGGGCCCCTCTGCTCGCATTCCGTCGACCGGCGTCTTCTGCTCGGCCTGCACCGAGGTCTGTTGCCCGTTNATTGTGTGATAACGTTTTTCTCTTCTCCATCATTCAAGATATTATGTGAATTAATATATTACTGAATCTAATGAGTTAACGTTAAATTAAGTAAAAGAAAAGTTTTATAGGTAACTGTTCGCTGCGAGGTCTGTTGCCCGTTCTACATCGAGGGCTACTCAAGCTGAACCTACGACCGGAGTCGTGTGCATGGAAACTGTTCCTCAACCTAGGACTTCGGCTCCTACTGCCCGTTCAACGGGTGAACCTTCCCGTGCTGAGGATGGGGAGGGTCCGTCAAAGAGACGGCGAGTGGAGTCCGAGATGACTTCTTCAGCAGTAGTATACCCAGAGGCTAACCTTCCCTTGACGATGATTGAAATGGGTGGTGACGCTAACCCGGTCGCGGAGGTAAACCTGGCGATCGAGACCAACACGACGGCAGAGGCTTCGACTGTTGTGATTGATCAACAGGCTACTTGTCACGACCCAAACCCGCACTAGTCGTGATGGCGCCTCTCGTGAAGACAAGGCCAGCCAACTAACCCAATTCGTCTCTTTCAAAATATTTTAACATAAATGAATAGCAAAACACGACTTAATGACATTAAGTAACGATATTTACAACCCAACACAGCCCGTCCGGGGTGTCACAAGTCACGAGCATCTAGAATGATTTTGGTACAACTACAAAGCCTGTAATACATAGAAATAAATCTGGAATAAAAAGGAAGAAATCCGGTGCAGCGAACGCTGGCGGTCGCCTTGCTCAGCTACGATAGTAAATCCTCATCCAGCTCAAACCCGCTACCGGGTAAACCAATACCTGCATCTGCACGCGAGGTGCAGGGAGCAAAGTGAGTACTCCAACTCAGTGAGTAATAAAAGTAAATAATAACTGAGCAGCAAGAAACCACGTAAAGCAAGCCATAATGCTATATAGAACAGTGTAACTCTTTGAGAAAACAGTGAAACCATATAATCTTTAGAAATATCTGGGCTCAGTTTAAAAACCTCTTTCGAAAATATCTTTTTCCAACAGTTAAGCAAATGCATGCGAAACAGATAGTGCAAGACATCACATAAGTCAGCCCCTCGGGCACAGCACTCCATTAACCAATAACACCAGGGTATCAGGTAAACAGTGCAAGAAATAGCATGGAAGCCAATGAAATGCGAGTGCTAGAATGTCATGACAAATAATACAAATAGGAACAAATGCATGAGTGCAATGCAATGCATATGACGGTACACTCCGGTACCCACTGCGGCGTGCAGCCCAAGCCATCCATATATTTAACGTCGACGGCGCTCACTGGGGGTGTGTACAGACTCCGGAGGGGCTCCTACAGCCCAAGCGCAAATAATCAAGCCATCTCGTGGCACCAACCAGGCCCTCGGCCTCAATATCAATACAATACCGCTGCGGCGCACAGCCCGAGCCATCCATATTTTCAGAAATCACTATAACACTGCTGCGGCACGTAGCCCGATCCATGCTCAGTCCAAAAATGCACATAAGCCACTTGGGCAATATTAAAATAATAGTTCTCAGCTCAAAACGTCAATAAAATATTGCTTAAGCTTTCAAATCTTAGAAAAATGGCTGAGTTTGCAAAACAGTATTAAAACCCTGGACCGAGATCAAGTAATATGCAAAGTAATGCGAAAACAGTGATATCAATCCCTAAAAGATTCACATAGTTGGCACGAAGCTCAAACATGGCAATCAGCCCACATTATGATGATAACAAGTAGTTTCAGTCAAATAAGTAGTAATTTCATCAATCGGGACGGACCAAGTCACAATCTCCAACGGTGCTCTACCCCACGCTTGCTATCCAGCGTGCAAGTCACCTCAATACAGCACTATGATGTGCAAATCCGGGGTTTCAAACCCTCAGACCATCATTTACAATCATTACTCACCTCAAACCGGTGAAATCTCTAGCTCGCGACGCCTTTGCCCCTCAAATCGGCCTCCACGCGCGTCGAATCTAATCAAAATCAGAGCGAATACATCACAATACGCTAAGGGAACAATACCCAATCGAAAACAATCAAAAAATAGCGAAAATCTCGAAATTAGCAAAACCCGAGCCCTGGGCCCACATCTCAAAAAATCAGAAAATTCACATCAATGGATTCCTCATCTTGCCACGAGTCTATACATATCAAATTTACCAAAATCCGAGCTCAAATGCTCCCTCAAATCCCAAATTTAAATCTCAAAATCCCAAGCCCTAGTTCATCAATTTTAGGCTTAATTCCACGAATTTCTAGGTTAATTTCACATAATAATTACGTTTTTAACTCATAAAACTTACCTCCAGTCAATCTCAGTCGAAACCCTCTTCAATTGCTCCCAAAAAGCTCTCAAGATGTTCCACAATGGAGGAAAAATACCCTTAGCTCGCGGATGAAATGTTATCTCAAAACCTTCTCTGTCCAGCACTTTTCGCTTATGCGGTCCCGTCCCCGCTTATGCGGGACCGCTTCTGCGACATTTATATCGCTTCTGCGGTTCTCCACTTAAAGGCCTCGACCGCTCCTGCGGCCCATAAATCGCACCAGCGGGACCGCTTCTGCGGCCCAAACATCCGCTTCTGCGAAAAACCCAATTCGAGTCCAAAACCGCTTCTGCGGTTCCCCAATCGCATAAGCGATACCGCTTCTGCGGTCCATATTCCGCAGAAGCGAAAACATACCAGAAGCAACAGACTTAGCAACATGAAAAATCCCAAAACTCTCCGTTTAACCATCCAAACTCATCCCGAGGCCCCCGGGACCTAAACCAAAAATACCAATACGTCCTAAAATATTATTCGAACTTGTTCCAATCATAAAAGCACCACGATTAACACTAAAACCATCAAATTACATCAAATCCAAGCCTAAGTTCTTCAAAAACTTTCGAAACACGCATTCGATCAAAAACCCAATTAAACGACGTCCGAATGACCTGAAATTTT